GTTTTTCTTTTACCCCTACATATCTGTCTGTCCCTACAGAGCGTTAGCTGCCCATGTTGCAGTTTTCCAGTCTCATTGATTCACCTCCTGTTGCTCTCATTGTGGCATTCTCAATAGAGGCTGATTTTGGGTGAAGTAACTCCAGTAAATACTACATTCTTTCTCCTTCCTCAATACAATTGGCCACATTTTGTTTCTTCTGGGTTACTCCTGAATGGTTCTTAAAAAAAACTCTCTTGGTGCTTTCAAGTCTGAGTCCTCATCTGCACTTGACCATGATAGAAATCCTGAGTTGTTGTTTTCGGTGATCACCAGTTGGCTTTAAGTTTACTGTGCCTGAGTTTTTTTTCTTTTAACTGAGGGGAAAGAAGGTGGTTGAAACATCCTCATTGCTGTTTCACATGTAAAGGTTGCCACTTATAACTACAGCTCTGCTCACCCCCCATGTCCTAGCTTATGCAGTTGTCTTGCTTTACTGGAGGACTTTGATCAAAACTGTTTTGGTTCTCTTTTTTAACTTCTTGCATATTGGGCATCTCAGCTTGTGGAAGAGTTCAGCTTCCCTGCAGCGGCCTGTTTACCTCCTGAGTGAGTCTGACTCTGCTAAGTTAACGTCTCGCTCTCAGCAACTTGCTTCCTCACTGCTTTAATGTGACTTTCATCTCATACAGTACTGCTGATGGAGTGGTTTGTTTAGTGTCGGCTTAGTTATCCTGCATATAGACTCCACCCTGTTATTTAACACACTTCTATTCTTTTGGTCATAAGATGTTGGTAAAAAGTATGTTTGGTTGTTCATAGCCAGGCCTCTTAGGGTAAAGCTGTAACCCCCGTTCAATACAGTAGTCATGTGAGCAACATATCTGCTTTCATCACAGTAGAGGTGTGTGTATTGTTTGTGTTCAACATTAGAAAGTCACAGAGTAGCTCTGCACTTTCCCCCTCCTTTTCCCCAGCTGCGTGGTGACACTCTGCCTCGTTGGAATATGTATATCATAACCAGGATTAAGCGAAGCAATATGGAAATAATTGAACCAACATCAGGAGACAGAGGAATTTGTTTCTGATCCCCATGCTGTTGTTCCAGATGTGGAGGAAGTGTCAGACCAGGCTCCAGGTGTTTCTCAACATGCTGGACTTGTGTTCTGTGGTGGGCTCTTCTGGTTGCCAGCCACTGCCTTTATGGTGGTTTCTTCCAAGAGCTCTAATGAGAGATTTAAAAGCATGATACTACTTCTGCACTCAGCACTGCTGTCTGCGGAGTAACACTAGTCTGAACCCCTAGGGGGAGACAAACCCCACCTCAACTGCTGGCAGAGTTAATAAATAAGATGTGAACACAATGTAAATAATAATCTTCACTGTATAAACCGTATAAGCTTGCTTGCCTTACTCATTCTCTGGGCTTAAAAACATTCAATGTTTTAATAATTTGTGTGCTTTTTTTAATTCTTACTCTTGACCAGTGGCGTTTTTATATGTACAAAAGTGGTGGGGCACAAAAAACGTAGATGTCTATATATAAGCTTCTGCAGTGATGTGCAGTGAGGTTCATGGCTGCTGAGGCACTGGCACTGACTCTTCAGGTTTACAAATATTATATTTTGACCTAAACCAAAATATAATATTATTTTCAAAAGCTTTTTTTGTCTGATGCTTCGATTAATTTTAAACAGACAGTTCAACAAAAGGATACCCAAAAAATGTAATTGAATGTAATATTGAATTGTTCTCTCTAAGTAAGATCCCATTTTCAAAAAATTGTGGTCTTACCTTGACTTGAAGATGAAGTCCATTTGTCTATCCTTCTGGACAAAAAATTCTATAACTTTTTTGTAAAAGTCCTCCTTATCTTCTTGTAGTTTCAAAAGTCTATCATAAATCTAATCGATAGATTTATGATTCGAAAATTATAAAAGTAGGGTAGACATGTGGATATTATCCGGCTGAACAAAACGTGCATTTATCTAACAGGTACGTTTCCCACAGATCTTATTTCAAGCTATTTTCTAAAATCCTATGGAGAAACCTCATTGCTTTTTTGCAGCTTACTTCCTGGTTTTAGGACGCGTCACTGCAGCTCTCGTCTCCTCTTATTATACATCCATGCTCTTCACACACCACACTTTTCGCGGCACACGTACTTACAGCCAATCAGCTCTGAATGATGTGAGATGACGTATGGTGGGGATGGCAGCTCTGTGCCCCTATGGTGTTTTTTTTTTTGCCACACACATTACATTGAAAAATACTCTGAGCATGGGCAGTGTAGTTTTTACAGTCACCGTTCACTTTGACAGTGAAAGGGTGGGGCATGATCAGGTTTTGTCCCACATGGCTCAAAACGGCACTGTAGACACTAATTAGAAGAACACAGACTAAAACAGCAATGTACAGACGAATCAGATGATTAAACATGACCTTAAAATATATTTTATATATTTTTTCATTTCTTTTTTTGCATCTCTTTCCATTTTTTGTAATCATTATGTGTAATACTTTCTGCTGACACTAGGTGGGGCTGTGCCCCACCTGCCCCTAATGACCAGTCGTCACTGCTCTTGACCAATCTTATGTTTTGAAACCTGAAGAAGCTGGAACTCCAGTGTGGACTTCTGGTGTGAGACCTCTTGATTTTTGTATTTAATATGTGTATATTTAACATGTTTTTTTGTATTTTCTTGTTGTTTTTAACTTCTCTTCCTCACAAAGTAGGAAATAACAGACTGAGTATAAACTGTTGTTTGCACATATCGTGCTATGTACTCCACTCAGACCGGTTCTTAAGTATTTAGGACCAACAGTCTGTTTACAACATACAAAAGACATGATTTCTTATCAAGATTCAACCCTTTGTTTTGATCTTGTGTCCATGCCATTTGCAGAAATGTGTTAATTTATTTCCTCTGTTTGAAATCAATCCTGTATACAGGGATTTTCATTTGTATATGGTTTGTGCCAATTCTTAAAGTTCCATGTGAAAAATAATTACAATGTGTGCTGGGACAATGGTATCTGACAAGGTCATGTATCAGTAATGAAACTACTAATAAAGGAAATCAAATCAGAGGGTCACTATCTTTTGTGCTGTTGAAAACAATCCCTGTGTAGCTGGAGGAAGGAGCAACCTCCATATATCTTGGTTTATTAAAAAAACTAAATTAAAACAATCAAATAAATACGACTTTTGTAATGTAACGCAGTGCTCTGATTTTGTGCTGTTGTGTCTGAAGTGAAAGCAGCTGGAGAATGACTTGGTTCTGAAAAAAGGCATAGTCATAGTTCAGGCATCTTTACGTAAAAAAACACAGTAACTCAAAAATATAGAAATCATAGTGTAGTATTTTTAAAAACTATAAAATACCATAAAAAGGTATAGTATAGCATGTTTAACAAAATTCAAACTAGTTTGTCGTAAAAAACTGTTTAGTGTGTCCAAACATATCAGAAAACAAGTCATAGCATATTATGTTGAAAAAAAGTCAAAATATAGTCTTTTGCAAAAATATTTAAAGCTATGGTATATCAAGCTATTGTTTTTTTTTATCGGAAAAAAAATGTCAATTTGTTGAAAGAAATCTTGAAAATCAAGCCGGTTTGACAAAAAAAGTCAAAGCATATAATGTGGAAAAATATAAACAAATTAAAAGCTTATTTTGGCGAAAAAAATGAAATGAATGTATGTAGTACAATGTCATAGAATATCATAGTATGTTGTGAATATAATAAAAAATCATACTATACTATGATCCTATGAGTCAAAGTATAGTATGTTGAAAGAAAATCATAGTAAATCATGTCATACAAAGTCATAGTAGCTCAGGTTTAAAATAAGTCAAAGTGAATATGTTGAAACATTCCGAAATAAGTAATGGCATTGTATTTGAAATAAAATCATAAGAAGGCATGTTATGTTGAATTAAAAATCACAATGTAGTATCACAAAAATGTTAAGTCATGGTATAGGATGTCATGAAACAATTTTGGTATTGTATGTTGGAAAGAAAAATCATTAAAAGTCTTAGTATATTGAGTTGAACAATTAATTGTAGAGTATGTCAAAAGATGTCAGAAAAAGGTGATATAATTGAATGTCTGAAAAAAAGTCAAAGTATAGTATGTGGAAAGATATCATAGAAAATGTTACTGTCGTGTTTCATAAGATATCTGAGAAAAGGTCATAGCATGACTTTCCATTTAGCTGACGCTTTTATCCAAAGCGACGTACAATAAGAGCAAATTGTATAATATCTTTTTAAAAATAAAATAGTATATATGTAAGTAAGACATAGTAGTATGTCAGAAATATGTTTTATAGTATAACATGTACAAAAAAAGTAATTGTAGAGTATGTCAAAAATATCCTAAAAAGTCTAAAAGTATATCATGTTGAAAAGATTAATAGTAGAGTATTTGAAAATAGAGCATAGTAAAAAAAGACAGTATATTATGTACAAAAAAAGTCAAAGTTTAGTGTTTATACAAAAACTCATAGAACAGCATGAGATAAAACAATTAAAGTATAGTTTGTCAGAAAACAATATCATAGTATAATATGTAAACAAATATCACACAAAAAAAAACAAAACAACTTTATACCAAAAATGAAAACACCTCTAAACTTCTCAGAAATCCCACACCTGTGCAGGTGTATCAGAGGCAGAGATATTTTCCTGTGACAAAGATGCACAACGACTGAATGGTTGTTCCCTTTCCCCTTCTTCTATATTGTTAGGTAACATAAAGGAACACGTATAGTTCAAACTACTTTGTCCTGTCAAATTCTGCATTATTTTATTTAACTCATTTTGGTAGGAGATCCAGTTGCTGATTTTGGGGTATAGTCAAATGTGGATGATGTCCTTCCTGCCTTTACTCCATCCACCCTCTGTCTCTTTGTCCATTTCTTTGTCCTCACCTACTTACGTGTCTCGTTCATGTCCACACACCTGTTGGACGGACGGGGACATTTAGTTGCTAATGAGGGAACAAAGCCAACACAGTTTCAATGTGAGTTTTTATTATTTATTTTATTTAAGAGCTCAGGACAGATGCAGACAACAAACATCCAGACAAACACTTGAGTTCAAAAATAATTAGAGCACTAATTACAATTGGAACTCAACGTTATTATATTATAAAATTTAAAAAAAGCATCCCTCCAAAACCTGTACCAATAGTAATAATTCAACACAGTCTGAATGCCATTTAGTGTTTCAAAAAAGCCCCAAAACCTTTGTTTTACTACAAAAGGTTAAGGTCAATGTTTTATTAAATTCAAATATATATATTAAATGAAAATTAAATTAAATCTTGTGTCACATAAATTGTGACCAAAATGAAGTATTAATCAATTGAACATAATCTCACTCCTCCACCTCAGCGCCTGGCGGGACCTGGTGAATCTGAAAGAAGTTGTTATTACCCAGATCTAACCTAATATCTCTGATTGTGAGTTTGACTACTGCATAGTTGAAATCTGATGTTATTTTAGTTTTAAGATAACTATGGTCAACCAATTTAATCCAATTCTTTCTCAAAGTTTCAATTATTGTATCAGAGAACTCTGGGGGAAATTTGAGTGAGTCAATGTATTTCAAGCCATGCTCCAAATGCTGACTTTTCAGAAATCCTTCAGAACTATTAGCCAACCCGTGAAAACCATTGTGAGCAGACTTAAAGGCTTCTTGTACGTCTTTGTGTCTATCTTTAATATTTTCGTTAATAAGGGGAGGTTTATATTCTTGTTCTAATTTTTTTGTGTCCAGGGTAAAGCGGATTTCCGGGCACAAGTTAACATCTGGATAAAGAGCACTGTAACCAACTAACCAACTTGAGAAGTCATGTTGTCTTTTAAAGATACCTGGTCCACATAGTCCCCAAGGCACTTCGAAGCACACTTTAGTCACAATGCCAAATTGACTGTCCCATTGATAGGCTTTCTCTATAAGTTGAAACATACAGCCAGGTATTTTACCTCGGCTCTTTAAACATGGACTATTATAGGTATATATATAAATGTACCTAACTTTGGTTCCACATTTCTGCAAAAAATTATCTAGTTCTCCAATTAAAATTTCCTCACTGTGTTTTTTCTTACAAGGATCTGGATACTCAGCTTTAAAAATATTTCCTTTAAAATCTTCCATTACAACAACAGCATATGCATATTGTTTATGGTCGTTCTTAAGACGGTGTTTTAGGAACATTTGGAAAGGTCTGCCGGCACACGGTGCAGCAATACTGAATCCAGATTCTATTTCTGAATTACGTTTCATTACATGAATACAACGTAACTTATAGACATACATATGTAGTAGCTCATTTAAATTATCCATGGTGATTGGAATAACATTTGCAAGCAACACATTTTGTTTATTTGCTGTTGTTGATGTCCCTGAATTAGAATCAATGGCACCGGGACGATCTTCCTGATGCTGGTCTTTTTCCCTAGAAAATAAATATAAAGGTTTGACTTTATTCACAGGACAAAATCATATGCTTAAGATTGTTATTTAACTTTTAGCACAACAATGCTCCATGTACTGAATTCATAAAGCATATTGTCAAAAGCTAACAGATTGTCAATGGCTGATTTAACTTAGTTAAGTGTGCTAAAGGGCGATGTGTTGGATTGAAGATCTCTTCTTGTTGTGAATAGAAACAAACTATATATATATATATAATGCTATATACTGGAGTTCAGTACAATTACACAGCCAGGAGAAAAAAACGAAATGATCAGTTGCATAAGTTTACTTTCACATGTTTATATTTTGCATTGAGATCTGAAGAAGGTTTAGACAAAGATAAATAAAAACAAGCCGTTAAATATCAAGTTGTGGTGACGTGTTAAGTCTCTTTCTGTAACTTGAATGCAGACTGATCAATGTTAGAGAAAAATAAATATTAAAGTTCAGTATGATTGACTCATTCGACCCACGGAAAGCTGTATTTTTACATTTACCTGACTCAGTTTCATGGGACCCAATACCTAGTAACTACTACTTAACTAGTTTCAGTTAATACAGCATTTTATTTCTTAGACCATACCTTTGGGGTGAGGAGGGTTCTGGCTCGGTGGGAGGGGATGAAGACATCTCTTCACTCTCAGGCACTTGTGGATCTTGTTGTGTGCTTCTGTCCGTCTGAGTGGAGAAAACAGAACTTTATAGGCCAGTTTTTCAAAGTCACACGGAGAATATACAAACAAAACACAATACATATAGAAAAACAGAAAATGTATTGAAAATGTTCTGACTCACCAGATTTGGGTATGAGACCAGCCCATGCAGGGGCTGGCAGTCGTCGTGTCCAACAGAAACATTTACATCAAACTGGTCGATTGGATTTAGGTCAGTGGGATCAATATCACCTTCTCTCATCGAACATGGACTATAATGGGTGTTTAAATCATTGTTTTTAACTTCAGTTGGACGTCTCTGCAAAGTTTCATCTATATGTTCACATAAGATGCTCTCTGTGTGTGTTGCGACATCGCTTCGTTGAACCTCATCGAACATCTGAAATTCACCACTTTTCATTTCTGCAGCATATTGATTATCCTGATCCTTAAGACGTCTTTTTAAGGAAGGTGGCATGGCCGATGTTTCTTCTATACCTAAGTTACGTTTCATTTCTCGATTAATACTTGACTTTTTGTCAGAAACTTTTATAGCTTCATTATCCATGGTGATAGGTATAAGATTTGCAGTCGACATATTTTGTGTATTTGCTGTTGGTGATGTCCCTGAATTAGAATCAGTGGCACCGGGACGATCTTCCTGATGCTGGTCTTTTTCCCTACAAAATAAATATAAAGGTTTGACTTTATTCACAGGACAAAATCATATGCTTAAGATTGTTATTTAACTTTTAGCACAACAATGCTCCATGTACTGAATTCATAAAGCATATTGACAAAAGCTAACAGATTGTCAATGGCTGATTTAACTTAGCTAAGTGTGCTAAAGGGCGATGTGTTGGATTGAAGATCTCTTCTTGTTGTGAATAGAAACAAACCATATATATATAATGCTATATACTGGAGTTCAGTACAATTACACAGCCAGGAGAAAAAAACAAATGATCAGTTGCATAAGTTTACTTTCACATGTTTATATTTTGCATTGAGATCTGCAGCAGGTTTAGACAAAGATAAATAAAAACAAGCCGTTAAATATCAAGTTGTGGTGACGTGTTAAGTCTCTTTCTGTAACTTGAATGCAGAGTGATCAATGTTAGAGAAAAATAAATATTAAAGTTCAGTATGATTGACTCATTCGACCCACGGAAAGCTGTATTTTTAAGTTTACTTGACTCAGTTTCATGGGACCCAATACCTAGTAACTACTACTTAACTAGTTTCAGTTAATACAGCATTTTATTTCTTAGACGATACCTTTGGGGTGAGGAGGGTTCTGGCTCGGGGGGAGTGGATGAAGACATCTCTTCACTCTCAGGCACTTGTGGATCTTGTTGTGTGCTTCTGTCCGTCTGAGTGGAGAAAACAAAATGTTACCATCTTCTGATGTTAAAGTCTTTATTGTCATTAGTGGAAAACACGTCTGTTAGGAACGGCTGAATGCTTTGCCTGTGGTATTGCTGAGTGCACATTTGAGGTAGTGCTTCATTTTCTAAAGCTTCTTTTCCCATCCTGCATTTTAGTTTCAGTTAAACAAAGACCAACCTACAGTATGCAGGCGCAACAGTCTCGCACAACACTGTGCTTTTGTTTGAGCCCTGTATGTCAACATGTAAAGCTGAGCAATACTGTTCAAATTGAAAATGTTCAGTAAAAGTTACAACTTTTTTTGTTTGTTTCTGGAATGAAATCAAATAAAAAGAGATGTGTCTTACTTGTCCAGTATATTAATGCATGGAAAACGGAAATGATCTTCTATTCAAATGTTTCTGTAAAGTTTGATAAGCAGTTACAGAAAAAGCAGAAATGAAATGCTTAGTTCTCAAGCTCTTCATCGGTGCTCAAACAAATATGTATAAAAGTAGATAACCTAAGTAAACATTTTAATTTAAGACATAAAATAGTGCACAGGCTTAAGTAAATAAAAAATAAATGTGCTAAACAGATGTACAGTCATTTCAATATATATATATTTTTTTATATACAAATAAAATAATGTAGACTACCTGCATGGTGAGAAGGTCTGAACTCCTCTGGAGGAACAAAGAGACAGAACAGTTAGGTGGTAAAAAAATTAAAGTAAAAGTTTGTATGACTTTTTACGTTTTATTAGTTTTATGCTTATAACAGAACGTTATAGTTTTTCAAAGTTCTAAACCTAACCCTAACATGTTTGTAAACACTCTGTTTACAAACAAAACACAGTAGATGTAGATAACACTGAAAATGTATTGAACATGTTCTGACTCACCAGAGTTGGGTCCAAGACCCGCCAAAGCAGGGGCTGACAGTTGTCGTGACCAACAAAAAGATTCCACAGATACAAGTTGTTGTATTGTAATTTAGTTAAATCAAACTGGTCGATTAGATTTAAGTCAGTGTTTATTTTTATGAAAGTCACAAGATTTGCCAGCCCCTGCTTTGGATAAATTATAAATGTTCCTTTTACTCCTTTTCTTCTTCTTTCTGCACGGGTTTTTGAAAAACAAACTACCATCTGTTTTCAAAGAAACTGTATGAAGTGGCTGCTTATAAACCCTCCCTTAGCCAATCGGTGAGGCCAATCTTTGGTCGCCATGCCCAGTTTGCTTACGTATGCAGAGGTGTGGGAGCCTGATGTTTCTTATAGGTTTCACTTTCTTTTTTCTTCAAAAGGTGTGTACAACGAAACTTTCCTGCATCCCAAGGGGCAAAGGCAAAGCAGACAATCGACATACATTTAGTTTATTTATTTATGTAACTGTATTTCTCGTTCAAAGCACTCACTTTGTATGTTAACTTCCTGCCAGTAACTGATACAACTTAAAAAAGAGAATTACAAACAAAAATCCCAATATTTCAGAAAACATAAGGACTGTTTTCAGAGCTGGAAGAAGTACTCAGATTGTGTTTTTAATTCAAAGTAGAAGAACCAGAGTGTAGGAATACTCTGTTACAGATTTGCCCATTTAAGAGTAATATATATGATATGATTTTATTATAATAACCCTTATCCTTAATAACCAACCAAGGACCCCCCCCCCCCACACCGTATCACCTGAATCTCCTCCGAGAGCACCATTGTGTTCTTTTTAACCAAATATCTCTCAGAGGGGCGTGGGGAGTGGCTCCTTATATTCATCTAAAGTAACAGACAGAGAATCAGCACTTTTGAAACAGGGCTGAAACAGAGGGGATTATGGGATGCTACAATGATCTGTTTGGTATTTGGAGCAAAACACTTCAGAGACATGTTTAGTATATATCTGAGACCTATAATATATTGATGAAAAACAGTATAGGGGACCTTTAAGTGTTGATTATATTTCACATTATTAATCCAAATCTGTCAAGTAACTAAAGGTATTGAATAAATGTAGTGGAGTAAAAGTACAAGATTTACCTCTGAATTGTACAAAGTAGCTAAAAATGGAAATACTCAAGTAAAGTACAAGTACTTCACAATTGTACTTAAGTACTTGAGTAAACGTACTTAGGTACTTTCCACCACTGACTGTTTTTACAACCAAGTCCAAGTCAATTATATTCTAAATGTGTTACCCTTCAAGGTTTCAAGGCTTTTATTTGTCATACGTGCATAGCTACAGTGTAATTATGACGATGAAAATCTTAGGTCCCATGCTCCTCCAACAGTGCAATACAATAAAACAAAACAGATAAACACAACAAAATAGTGCAAGTAATAAGTAAATACAAAAGGAAAAATTGTAAAAAAGTGAAAAAGTGAAAAAGTGAAATAGTGCAAGTGATGGAATGATATATTAGATAAATAATTTCTAAGTAGCAACCAGATTAATGTTAAGATATTGTTTCAAGTTCAGGTGTTTAACAGTTGTTGTGGATAATTTAACCTCATCAATACTGTAAAGATGTACAATGAGAGTAATCAATAATAAACTGGTGAAAGCAAACAGAGTTGTCTTAGTAGTTTCTTTATGCAAGCTTGCAGGTACAGTCATGCAAAATACAAAAGTGGTTTGCAGGAGTGGACACAGAGGGAAATGTGTGTGTGTGATTTATAGAGGACCTGTTGCTGTGCAGACAAAGAAAGATAACATTTTCTGCTGACTGTTATCTTACAATGCTCTCATAAGGAACAAGAGTCTCATTGTTCAAATTGCCCTGTAGCACTCACATCTCATGTGATGAAGGTGCTTGAGAGACTGGTCTTGGCCCATCTCAGACCGCAGGTGAGATCATTCCTTGACCCTCTACAATTTGCCTACCAGCCTCACCTGGGAGTGGACGATGCCATTATTTACCTGCTGCAGCGTGCTCACTCATACCTGAATGGATCGGGTTGCACTGTGAGAATCACCTTTTTTGATTTCTCCAGCGCATTCAACACGATCCAGCCTCGGCTACTGAGTGACAAGCTGCAGGCTATGAGGGTAAACTCGTCCACCATCTCCTGGATTACCAACTACCTCACGGACAGACCACAGTACGTCCGGCTGGGCAGTGTGCTGTCTGATGTGGTGGTTGGTAGTATTGGAGCCCCACAGGAGACTGTGCCGTCTCCCTTCCTGTTCACCTTATACACCTCTGACTTTCAATACAACTCAGAGTCCTGCCACCTGCAGAAGTTTTCGGATGACTGCTGTGGTAGGGTGTATAAGGGATGGACGGGAGGAGGAGTACAGAGCGCTGGTGGGTGATTTTGTTGAGTGGACTGGAAGAAATCATCTGCTTCTGAATGTGGCCAAGACCAGAGAGATGGTCATTGATTTCAGGAGGAAGAGGACATCTCCTCCTCTGCCCCTGTGCATTCTAGGAGAGGATGTGGCTGTTGTGGAGGACTACAAGTACCTGGGAGTGCACTTACTGTAGACAATGGGCTGAACTGGAGGATCAACACTGACGCTGTGTACAAGAAGGGGATGAGCCGAGTCTATTTTCTGAGGAAGCTGAGATCCTTCAACGTATGCAGCAAGATGCTGGAGATCTTCTATCAGTCTGTGGTGGCTAGTGCACTCTTCTTTGCTGCGGTCTGCTGGGGGGGCAGCATAAGAGCAGGATCAATAAACTGATCAGGAAAGCTGGGTCAGTCATCGGCATTAAGCTGGACCCCTTTGAAGCTGTGGTGGAGAGGAGGACACTGAACAGGCTGTTGTCCATCATGGATAACCCCAGCCATCCTCTCCACCTGCAGCTGGACAGTCAACGGAGCTCCTTCTCCAACAGACTGCTGCAGCTCCCCTGTCTCAAGGACAGATACTGGAAAACATTCCTGCCCACTGCTATAATACTGTACAACAAATCACCTCTGGCTGGAAGAGAACTCTCTGCTCCATAGTTTCTCTAGAAATAAAACCACGTTGTACATTTTACAATTTGTAATACTCCATATTCCATATGTCATATATTTTGAATGTATATATATATATTTGTATATATAATATCTGCATGTATATTTTCTATTTTATTTTATTTTTCTTTCTATTCTTGTTTATTTTGTAGTTTTGTTTTATTGTAAAATGCCTTGTCTATTATGCTGCTGTAACAAAAACAATTTCCCAATTTGGGATCAATAAAGTACTATCTATCTATCTATCTATCTATCTATCTATCTATCTATCTATCTATCTATCTATCTATCTATCTATCTATCTATCTATCTATCTATCTATCTATCTATCTATCTATCTATCTATCTATC